CTGTCTGCCCTCTGATGGAGAAGGATAAGAGGCTTATGGAAGCTTCCTGATGGGAGAGACTGACTGAGGGGGAAACTGGGTCTTGTTCTGATGGGCAGGGCTATGCTCAGTTAATCTTTAATCCAATTTTCTGTTGATGGGTGGGGCTGTGTTCCCTCCCTGTTATTTCAGTCAGTTCAGTTGCTCAGTCATGTCCAACGCTTTGCAACCCCATGAATTGCAGCACACCAGGGCTCCCTGTCCATCACCAACTCACGGAGTTTACTCAAACTCATGCCCATCGAGCTGGTGATGCCATCCAGCCATGTCATCCTCTGTCGTCCCCTTCTCCTCCTGCCCTCAATCCCTTCCAGCATCAGGGTCTTTTCCAATGAGTCAACTCTTTGCATGAGGTGGTCAAAGTACTGGAGCTTCAGCTTCAGCATCAGTCCTTCCAATGAACACCCAGGACTCATCTCCTTTAGAATGAACTGGTTGGATCTCCTTGCAGTCCAAGGGACTCTCAAGAGTCTTCTCCAACATCACAGTTCAAAAGCATCAATTTTTCGGCACTCAGCTTTCTTCACAGTCCAACTCTCACATTCATACATGACCACTGGAAAAACCATAGCCTTGACTAGATGGACATTTGTTGGGAAAGTAATGTGTCTGCTTTTTAATATGCTATCTAGGTTGGTCATAACTTTCCTTCCAAGGAGTAAGCATCTTTTAATTTCATGGCTGCAATCACCATCTGCAGTGATTTTGGAGCCCAAAAAAATAAAGTCTGATACTATTTCCACTGTTTCCCCCATCTATTTCCCATGAAGTGATGGGACCGGATGCAATGATCTTAGTTTTCTGAATGTTGAGCTTTAAGCCAACTTTCTCACTCTCCTCTTTCACTTTCATCAAGAGGCTTTTTAGTTCCTCTTCACTTTCTGCCATAAGGGTGGTATCATTTGCATATCTGAGGTTATTGATATTTCTCCCGGCAAACTTGATTCCAGCTTGTGCTTCTTGCAGCCCAGCATTTCTCATGATGTACTCTACATATAAGTTAAATAAGCGGGGTGACAATATACAACCTTGACGTACTCCTTTTCCTATTTCCTGTTATTTACATGGGGTCAAACTATGGTGGAGGTAGTGAAGATAATGGCTTTAGCTTATTCATCTGCAAAGTGGGGGATAATAAGAAAGCCGACAGTATGTATGTATGTATGAGGCCTTAGTGAATTAATATGCACAAAGTGTTTGGGTCTTGGTAAGCACTCAGTATATTTTAGCTACTATTATAGCCACAAAAGGGTGCTTCCCAGGTGGCACAGTGGTAAAGAATCCGTCTGCCAATGCAAGAGACACAGAAGATGCAAGTTCGATCCCTGGGTTGGCAAGATCCCCTGGAGTAGGAAATGGCAAGCCACTCCAGTATTCCTGCCTGGAAAACTCAACAGACAGAGGAGTCTGACAGGCTGCAGCCCACAGAGTCGCAAAGAGTCAGAGACAAATGGACACACATAGCCACAAAAGAATGTTTTCATGTTCCTTGTGTACTTCAGAGAGGTACAAAGTACCCAAGACACTTGGCTACCAAGAGTCAGAGCTGAGATTCCAGCTCCCATCTCTAAGTGGCCCTGACCATGTTCCTTAGACTGTGAAATATAATACTTTATCTTGGCACAGACACAGTTACTAAGGAATCAGATGAATGTGTTTGAAAATCCTGTTATCAACCAGCTAGAATCCACACTCAGTGGTTAATCTCCAAAACAAAAGCATAGGAGCATTATACAAAATAAGCAAGTCGCCTGACCAAAGTCCACAGTACCTGTTCAGACATGTCAAAGATCTATGGATCCTAGGAGGGTCATTAATTACTGTGAAGTCTTGTGTTTGAAAAGCTGAGAAACAATCTATCACTGAGCTTTGTTTATTTGTAACAAATATATGTCCTTTAAAATAATGAGGGAAATCCAAATAATAATAATAATAAGGGAAAAAAAGTCATAGAAAGGAGTATAATTAGTTTTGGGAAATTGCCCTATATAAGAGATCAGGAAAACCAAGCCCTGTTTCCAACCATCCAAGAAGGATGTCTCTGTCTGTGCATGTCTGTGTGTATCTGTGGTGTGCATGCATAAGTGTGTCTGAGTGTACATGTGTACGTGTGTGTGTGTGTGTGTGGAAAAATTCTGGAAAGAAATTCACTGTGAATTTAGTGAACTAAACACTAAAATTATAACACTAAACTGTTATCAACTTTTTAATTCTAAAAAGCTTAATATGTGGTAGGAGACAGGGGACTGTAAATTGTATTAAATGGAGAGTTACCAAAAGACCCCATAATTTTCAGATAAATGAAAACTGAAAGAATTTGTTGCAAACAGATGTGCAAAACAAGAAATGCCAAAGGAAGGTTTTCAGCATGATGAGACAAAATACAGGATGGTAATTCAATAAGGAATAAAGAACATCAGAAATGGTGACTAGGAAGTAAGTATAAAATTATCTATATATCTTTTCCATTTTTCTTCCTTTCTCCAAATTTTGTTGAAAGATATTTCAAAAAAGATATTTAGTGCTTGCTTCGGCAGCACATATACTAAAAGTGGAATGATACAGAGAAGATTAGCATGGCCCTTGCGTAAGGATGACATGCAAATTCGTGAAGCGTTCCATATTTTTATGACCCAGAGGGATGGGATGGGGAGGGAGGTAGAAGGGGGGTTCAAGATGGGGAACACATGTAAATCCATGGCTGATTCATGTCAATGTATGGCAAAAACCAGTACAATATTGTAAAATAATTAGCCTCCAACTAATAAAAATAAATGAAAAAAAAAAGATATATGCCTGTTTAAAGCAAAAATTATAATACAATACTGGGGTATGTAACATATGTTGACATAATATTTAGGATAAGAATAGCACAGATGATTAAACGGCATATGCAACTATACTGTTGCAAATTTCCTTTATTTACACAATGCGCTACAATATTAACTCAAAGTAGATTGTGAGAAATTAGGGACACACATGGTAATACCTAGAAGAAACACCTGGGGAAAAACAATGCAAAAAGGTATGTGTGTACGTATATTAAAAAGTCAGTAGAGGAATTAAAACAGAATACTAAAAAATGGCTAACCTCAAAAAAGTCAGGAAAGGAGATCAGAAGAATAAAAAAAAAATATGAGACAAACAGAGAACAAATAATGAAATAGTAGCTCTAAATCCAACTATATCAATACTTACATATTATGTAAAATCAATTAAACACTCTAATTAGAAGATAGAAGTTAACATAATGTTTTTAAAAGGTGAGACCCAAGTAAAGCTGTCTATAAGAAATATACTTTAAAAATAAAGTCAGAAATGGAAGAATGGAAAAAGTGTATCATGTAAACACTAAGTACAAGAAAGCTGGAATGGCAATATTAATATCTGACAAAGTAGACTTCAATATAGGGCCTATTACTAAAGATAAGAAGGGAAAGAATGATATTTCATTATTATAAAAGGGCCAATATATCTGCAAGGTAAAAATAATTATGAATCTGTATATGTTTAATAATAGTTTCAAAATAAATGTGGCAAAAAATTATGTGTATATATACATATATATATATATATATCATATCCAAGAGTGTTTACTCAGAATGCATGATTGTTTTAACATGTAAAAATAAATCACTGTAATCCCCCATATAAACCAATAAAGGGGAAAAATCATACATAGCGCTTCCCAGGTGGCACTAGTGGTAAAGAACCTTCCTGCCAATGCAGGAGACACAAGCAAGGCAATTTTGATCCTTGGGTTGGGAAGATCTCCTGGAGAAGGAAATGGCAACTCACTCCAGTATTCTTGCCTGGAGAATTCCATGGACAGAGGAGCCTGGCGGGCCACAGTCCATGTGGTCGCAAAGAGTCGGACGTGACTGAGCAACTACTAGTAACTAACTATATGCACCAAACAGAGCATCTGAAAAATTCAACAATCATTCATGATAAAACTCTTAACAAACTGGAATGGAAGGGAACTTTCTCAATCTCATAAAGTATGTCTGTGAAAAACTTACTGCTAACATATACTTCAAGGTGAACAATAAGTTCTTTCCCTACAAATTGGGAAAAATCATGGATATCTGATCTCACCACTTCTGTTCAACGTTCTACTAAAAGTTCCAGCCATTATCATAGGGCAAGGGGAAAAAAAGCATAAAGGCTGAAACAGAAGTAAAACTGTCCTTATTTACAGATGATATGGTTACATTTCTATACAGAAATATATTCCTATTGATAATAGTTATATATGGTAAATTCCATTGATCATATGGCTTTTTAAAAACATGAAATATCTAAGATCTTTACACTCAAAACTACTATATTGTTGAGGAAAATTAAAGAAGACCTAAATAAATGGAACATTATAACATTTATAAGTTGAAAGATTCAACATTGGTGAGATAAAAGTTCTCTCCAAACTGAACTATATATTCATTCAGTGATCTACATATTCATCCAAGAAGAAACTGAAAGGTGATTTTACAATTTATATGGAAATGAAAAGGACCTAAAATAGCCAAAACGATCTTGAAAAATAACAAAGTTGGAAGACTTATACTACATGATCTCAAGTCTTATTAGTAGGCTATAGTAATCAAGACCATGAAGGATTGGTATAAGGACTCATCTTTTTATTTTGTTCAAAGAACCAATTTTACCACTCTTTTGCTAACAGAATCTTGTTGGCCTTTTAAAGGTTCTTAATGAAGCTTATTTTATGCTACTGCTATTCATGCATTTATATTGTTCTTCTACTAGACTGTGAACTTCTCCTGGCATCCAAGCATTCAGTTTTACCTAAATTTATAAGTCTTCAATGCCTGTGCTATTCTATATCTTATATAATGTCTGATGAAACAGTGACCATTATGTATCTTAAACAAGCATAATCTAAATCCTCATGAGCATGGATGAAACAGAAAGCCATAAAACTTCCTTCCCAAATAACTCACCCAAGGTGGAGGGCTGGCTGATTTTTGGTGACACCCATTTTGGGGAGGACTCAGGATGGGGGGCCACGGGTTGCACTGGGCGAGTCTGTCTGGCTGCCAGTTTCATCAGACTCATTTGTCTCTTGTGAAATATTTCCTGCACGTCGCTCAGCTTCTGCAGAACTTTCTGGGCTTTAGCCTACAGGAACAAAGCAGATCATGAGCTGGTGGCTCTGCACTGAATCTGAGAACATGAGGCATTCCCTTTCTCCCATCTTCCCCTCTACCCCTCTTCTATGAACATCTATATGCAGGTCATAGCATATCTTGCCTTGTACAGAATTGTGCTTCTAAGAGCCTATACCTCCCACTTGATTGTCAGAAGTTGTATTTTTCCACCACTGTATCTCCAGCACCTGGAACACTGCTGGGCACTGAGGGGTTCAGTTCAGTTCAGTCACTCAGTTCAGTTCAGTCGCTCAGTCATGTCTGACTCTTTGTGACCCCGTGAATTGCAGCACGCCAGGCCTCCCTGTCCATCACCAACTCCTGGAGTTTATTCACTCATGTCCATCGAGTTGGTGATGCCATCCAGCCATCTCATCCTCTGTCGTCCCCTTCTCCTGCCCCCAATCCCTCCCAGCATCAGGGTCTTTTCCAATGAGTCAACTCTTTGCATGAGGAGGCCAAAGTATTGGAGTTTCAGCTTCAGCATCAGTCCTTCCAATAAACACCCAGGACTGATCTCCTTTAGGATGGACTGGTTGGATCTCCTTGCAGTCCAAGGGACTCTCAAGAGTCTTCTCCAACACCATAGTTCAAAAGCATCAAATTTTCAGCCCTCAGCTTTCTTCACCATCCAACTCTCACATCCATACATGACCACTGGAAAAACCATAGCCTTGACTAGATGGACATTTGTTGGCAAAGTAATGTGTCTGCTTTTTAATATGCTATCTAGGTTGGTCATAACGTTCCTTCCAAGGAGTAAGCATCTTAATTTAATGGCTGCAATCACCATCTGCAGTGATTTTGGAGCCCCCAAAAATAAAGTCTGACACTATTTCCACTGTTTCCGCATCTATTTCCCATGAAGTGAAGGGACTGGATGCCATGATCTTAGTTTTCTGAATGTTGAGTTTTAAACCAACTTTCTCACTCTCCTCTTTCACTTTCATCTAGAGGCTCTTTAGTTCCTCTTCACTTTCTGCCATAAGGGTGGTGTCATCTACATATCTGAGGTTATTGATATTTCTCCCAGCAACCTTGATTCCAGCTTGTGATTCATCCAGCCCAGCATTTCTCATGATGTACTCTGCATATAAGTTAAATAAGCAGGGAGACAATATATAAGCTTGGCGTACTCCTTTTCCTATTTGGAAACAGTCAGTTGTTCCATGTCCAGTTCTAACTGTTGCTTCCTGACCTGCATATAGGTTTCTCAAGAGGCAGGTCAGGTGGTCTGGTATTCCCATCTCTCAAAGAATCTTCCACAGTTTATTGTGATCCACACAGTCAAAGGCTTTGGCATAATCAATAAAGCAGAAATAGCTAATTTTTTGGAACTCTCGCTTTTTTGATGATCCAGTGGATGTTGCCAATTTGATCTCTGGTTCCTCTGCCTTTTCTAAATCCACCTTGAACATCTGGAAGTTCATGGTTCACGTATTGCTGAAGCTTGGCTTGGAGACTTTTGAGCATTATTTTGTGAGTGCAGTCGTGTGGTAGTTTGAGCATTCTTTGGCTTTGCCTTTCTTTGGGGTTGGAATGAAAACTGACCTTTTCCAGTCCTGTGGCCACTGCTGGGTTTTCCAAATTTGCTGGCATATTGAGTACAGCACCTTCACAGCATCACCTTTCAGGATTTGAAATAACTCAACTGGAATTCCATCACCTCCACTAGCTTTGTTCACAGTGATGCTTCCTAAGGCCCACTTGGCTTGGCATTCCAGCATGTCTGGCTCTAGGCGAGTGATCACACCGTCGTGATTATCTGGGTCATGAAGATCTTTTTTGTATAGATTTTCTGTGTATTCTTGCCACCTCTTCTTAATATCTTCTGCTTCTGTTAGGTTCATACCATTTCTGTCCTTTATGGAACCCATCTTTGCATGGAATGTTCCCATGGCATCTCTAGTTTTCTTGAAGAGATGAGATCTCTAGTCTTTCCCATTCTGTTGTTTTCCTCTATTTCTTTGCACTGATCACTGAGGAAGGCTTCCTTATCTCTCTTTGCTATTCTTTGGAACTCTGCATTCAAATGGGAATATCTTTACTTTTCTCCTTTGCTTTTCACTTCTCTTCTTTTCACAGCTATTTCAGTCACTCAGTTGTGTACAATTCTTTGCCATCCCATGGACTGCAGCAGGCCAGGCTTCCCTATCGACATCAGCAACCCCCAGAGCTTACTCAAACTCATGTCCATTGAGTCGGTGATGACATCCAACCATCTCATCCTCTGTCATCCCCTTCTCCTCCCACCTTCAACCTTTCCCAGCATCAAGGTCTTTTCAAATGAGTCAGTTCTTCACATTAGGTGGCCAAATTACTGGAGTTTCAGCTTCAGCATCAGTCCTTCCAATAAATATTCAGGACTGATTTCTTTTAGGATAGACTAGTTGGATCTCCTTGCTGTCCAAGGGACTCTCAAGAGTCTTCTCCAACACCACAGTTCAAAAGCATCAATTCTTTGGTGCTCAGCTTTCTTTATAGTCCCACTTTCGCATCCATCCATGACTACAGGAAAAATCAAAGCTTTGACTAGACAGACCTTGGTTGGAAGTGTAATGTCTCTGCTTTTTAATATGCTATCTAGGTTGGTCATAACTTTCCTTCCAAGGAGCAAGTGTCTTTTAATTTCTGGCTGCAGTCACCATCTCCAGTGATTTTGGAGCCCAAAAAAATAGTCTGCCACTGTTTCCACTGTTTCCCCATCTATTTCCCATGAAGTGATGGGACTAGATGCCATATCTTAGTATGCTGAATGTTGAGTTTTAAGCCAACTTTCTCACTCTCCTCTTTCACATTCATCAAGAGTCTCTTTAGTTCTTTGCTTTCTGTCATAAGGGTGGTATCATCTGCATATCTGAGGTTACTGATATTTCTCCCAGCAATCTTGATTCCAATTTGTGCTTCATCCAGTCCAGAATTTCTCATGATGTACTCTGCATATAAGTTAAATAAACAGGGTGACAATATACAGACTTGACATACTCTTTTCCCGATTTGGAACCAGTCTGTTGTTCCATGTCCACTTCTAACTGTTGCTTCCTCACCTGCATATACATTTCTCCGGAGACAGGTCAGCTGGTCTGGTATTCCCATCTCTCAAAGAATTTTCCACAGTTTGTTGTGATCCACACAGTCAAAGGCTTTGGTGTAGTCAATAAAGCAGAAATAGCTAATTTTCTGGTACTCTCTCGCTTTTTCAATGATCCAGCGGATGTTGCCAATTTGATCTCTGGTTCCTCTGCTTTTTCTAAATCCACCTTGAACATCTGGAAGTTCACGGTTCACGTACTGTTGAAGCCTGGCTTGGAGAATTTTGAGCAGTATTTTGCTAGCCTGTGAGATGAGTGCAATTGTGTGGTAGTTTGAGCATTCTTTGGCATAGTCTTTCTTTGGGATTGGAATGAAAACTGACCTTTTCCAGTCCTGTGGCCACTGCTGAGTTTTCCAAATTTGCTGGCATATTGAGTGCAGCACCTTCACAGCATCATCTTTTAGGATTTGAAATAGCTCAACTGGAATTCCCTCACCTCCACTAGCTTTGTTCATAGTGATGCTTCCTAAGGCCCACTTGACTTCGCATTCCAGGATGTCTGGCTCTAGGTGAGTGATCACACCATGGTGATTATCTGGGTCATGAAGATCTTTTTTGTATAGTTCTTCTGTGTATTCTTGCCACCTCTTCTTAATATCTTCTGCTTCTGTTAGGTCCATATCATTTCTGCCCTTTATTTTGCCCATCTTTACATGGAACATTCCCTTGATATCTCTAATTTTCTTGAAGAGATCTCTAGTCTTTCCCATTCTGTTGTTTTCCTCTATTTCTTTGCACTGATCACTGAGGAAGGCTTTCTTATTTTTCCTTGCTATTCTTTGGAACTCTGCATTCAGATGGATGTATCTTTCCTTTTCTCCTTTGCCTTTTGCTTCTCTTTCCACAGCTATTTGTAAGGCCTCCTCAGATGCCATTTGGCCTTTTTGCATTTCTTTTTCTTGGGGATGGTCTTGATCCCTGCCTCCTGTACAATGTCACAAACCTCCATCCATAGTTCTTCAAGCACTGTGTGTATCAGATATAATCCCTTGAGTCTATTTCTCACTTCCACTGTATAATCGTAAGGGATTTGATTCATGTCATACCTGAATGGTCTGGTGGTTTTCCTTACTTTCTTCAATTTAAGTCTGAATTTGGCAATAACGATTTCATGATCTGAGTCACAGTCAGCTCCCAGTCTTGTTTTTGCTGACTGTGTAGAGCTTCTCCATCTTTGGTTGCAAAGAATATAATCTATATAATTTTGGGAATGACCATCTGTTGATGTCCATGTGTAGAGTCTTCTCTTATGTTGTATATAGTTAAAGCTATGGTTTTTCTAGTAGTCATGAGAGTTGGACCATAATGAAGGCTGAGTGCCAAAGAATTAATGCTTTCAAATTGTGGTGTTGGAGAAGACTTTTGAGAGTACCTTGGACAGCAAGGAGATCAAACCAGTCAATCCTAAAGGAAATCAACCCTGAATATTCCATTGGAAGGATGCTGAAACTGAAACTCAAGTACTTTGGCCACCTGATGTGAAGAACTGACTCATTTGAAAAGACCCTGATGCTGGGAAAGATTGTCATTTCCTCCTCCAGAGGATCTTTCTGACCCAGGGATTAAATCCACATCTCCTGCATCTCCTGCATTGCAGGCAAATTATTTACCACTGAGCCACTGGGAAGCTTCCCATTAAATCTGTTAATATTTGCTTTATAGATTTAGGTTTTCCTATACTAGGTGCATATATGGTAATAAGAGTTATACACCTTATATATTCTTGTATTGATCCCTTTATCATTAAATAATACCCTTCTTTGTCCTTTGTTATAGACTTTGTTTTAAAGTCCATTTTGTCTGATATCACTACCTTCTCTTTATTGCTGTTTCCACTTGTACAAAATATCTTTTTCCATCCTCTCACTTTCAGTCTG